GGGATCATAGTCACCCACTCTGAGGGCAGATCCTCCTTGCTCAGTCCACTTGCTCAGTAACTATCTCTTCTAGAAACGCCTGCATAGAAACACCTAGAAGCACTGCATCACTTGTTTTCTAGGTGTTCCTTACTCTGGTCAAGTTGACAGTTAACACTGACCCACACACTCCTGGTCTCCCATGAGGCTGTCAAGGTGTTGCTTGGGCTGCAGTCCTTGGGAACCTGTTTAGGGCTGGAGAGTCTGATTCTAGGGACTCATTGTGGGCAGGAAGCCCCTGTCCCTTACCATGTGCACCTCATTGCTGGTTGCTTGAGGAAGGACATTGTGGTGCCTCTTCAAATAGCCATGGAGGTCACCTGCTGGTCCTTCCTCTACATGCTACCTGTGGGTGGGTTATTAATTTCAGGTTCCTTTCAAGGGGAGGGCAATAGACTACTTTTCAAAGGCAGTATTTAAAAGCTTGTGACTATATTTTTTTTTGTCTTTTTCATTTTTATCGGTACCGGGGATCGAACTCACGACTGCCTGCTTGCAAGGCAGGTGCTTATGCCGCTGAGCTAAATCCCCAGCCCCCAAAAGCTTGTGACTGTATTTTAAAGCCACCATGGAGAGTGAGAGCACATGTCTCAGCACTTGCTGTCACTATGAGGTGTCACCTTAGAAGGTACAGGAATGACCCCGAAGATACGGGCTACAAAGCAGACATGTGTAAGGTGGAGAAGCTGGAATTGTAGCAAACAGGTAGGGTGACTATAAGATGTAGAGTGCCTGGGGCAGGACCTTGGAAAATGGTGCCCAAAGCAGGTGACTCCCAGTGGAGAGGCAGAGAGGTGGTGGTGGGCTTTCTGTCCAAGGCAGATCTGCAGAGCTCCTACTAGCGAGAGCCAACCTGACTGTTTAGGTTGGGGCAGAGAGGGGTGGGTAAGGGTCACTGTGGGCATTCTATTAGTATAGGTGACACTAGTCCTGCTAGATTCCAGTGGATGGAAGCTGGTACCCGGCTAGGAATGGCGTGGCCAGCTGCAGACCATGCAAGCTAAATGTTTGCCACTGATGCCATGGTAACCTGCTTGGGTCCGTTGGGCAGTCTCTGCAGCTTTTCTATGGGAACTGCCTGGCATTGCCCTTTAGGCCTATGATTGCCTGCTTTGAGATAGTCTCCTGTCTTCAGCTGGAACCAGGTAGTCAGGTTTGTGAGATGCATTAATCATATGATGGGGAAACTTCTGAAGTGAGTGAGTATGGGGAAAACAGGATGAAATATTAGAAATTGGGTCCTGGTAGGAAGCCCAAGCCATCTTCCCCCTCGGGCCCTATGAGCCGGTCTCCATGAGGGGGACCCAGGCTGGTGAGGCTGTAGATTTGGGTGGGGCTGGCTAAGACACTCTGAACAGAACTCCTCAGAAGTCATGTATGGTTTCTCCAAGGAATCCTGACTTCTTGATATCTTATTTTGGGCCAAATGAAGCCCTTAGCCAGTGGTTAGCTGGTCAATGTGGCACTTGGGAAATGTTATCCAGTAATCTGCAGTTGTGGAATCTGTGGCTGATTTTGTGGAGAATCTCTCATTCTGCCCTGTGATCAGATGTAATGCCATTAGTCCCAGGATTTCCAGACCTCAGCTAAACCAGACAGCTGAAGAGTTAATGGCCTCTAGTCTGCCAAGATCCCAAGGATGAACACATTCTTTCTGTCTCTCTGATGTTTTTTTTCCCTTGTAAAAGATTTCTTTCCCTTTAAGTATGTGCACACACATCTACATGCATGTGTATACAGACATGCACACATGTGCACATGCACACACGTATGTGCACCCTAAACCATATGAAGCTGGGTACATGTTTTTTCCTGCTAATTTCTTCTTTTCCAGGCAGGGGCATCGATATATTTGAATCATGGGCTGACAGTAATTAAAAAGCACGTAACTAGTCATTTTAAAATGCAGTTGTTTTACTTAATTGATTTTGCCGCCAGACTCAGAAGAAAGAACAGGAAAAAGAAAGCCTTAGAAAGGGAGACAAGTTTCTGAGAGTGACTGAAGGCAGCTGAGGGCCCTGCTTGAATCTAATTGCTGCAAATGCTGCCATTTGTTTCTGCTAATGGTTTTCTGCTGAAAGGGCTGGGACGAGGCACATCCTCACTGATTGGAGGGGGTGGCATTTGTTTCAGCTGCATTGGGGGGTATAATTCTGCTTTTGGGACAGGGTCTATTTTTCCTTACTATCTATCAGCATAAAGTACTTCCACTGAACACTTTGAATCAAGGTTCCATTTAGAGATACTTTATTCATATTTAATTACAGACTGCAGCACCGATCTTTAATTACCTTTTTTATAAGCCAGCTAGGAACATTCACTAGCAATCAATTATTTTTGTGTGTGTGTGTGTGTGTGTGTTGCGAGTGTGCACGCTTGTGTAAGGACAGGAGGGTGTGGGCGTGGACTTGCTTCCAGCTAGAGAAGGAAACGATGGCTGCAGGGACACTGTAGGGTGCTGAGGTGGGGGATGCAGTGACAGATGCCTGATAGGTGCCCTGTGCCAAGGGGATGGCGCATCCTATTTGCCATGCTTCTCTTTGTTTCCACTGGTAAAATTGGGAATTTGAGCAGATCTTCACAGCTAGGCCTGGGGCAGGGTGCTGATTTGGCAGCTGGGCTTGGGTGGTATCTTGGGGTCTCTTTGATCTCCTGCTGGGGGCAGGAAATTGTGGGAGGCCTCCTTCCTGTTCCTGGGGGATATGGCAAACTAGGCTTCCTCACACCCTGGAGATTCAGATCTGCTTGCCTCAGCTCTTTCCTTCCTTTGCTTCCCTGTGGGGTGTTCTTGGCAGCTGTTCTCATCACATAGTCCTAGCGATGGATGCCATGTCACTCTTTGGTTTCAGTGACTCAGCAATGTCCCTGCAATAACACGGGTTTGAAGACTGATTGTCCTTCTCAGACAGTGAGCAAATGTTTCTGGGGCCAGACAGAGACTTGGGGGTAGGGAATGAGATCAGAAGATCCCCAGGTCCCTTTGCTGAGGAAGATTGGGCCATTTTGGCTGCTTGTGGGCAAGGGTCAGAGTTCACAGTTCTGCTCCTTGGTGGACCTCCAGGAAGGTTTCCACATTAACTCGTGTGGACCTCACTGTGCAGTGGCTGGGAACATTGCCGAAACCCTGCCTTCCCTTCTGTTTCTGGATCCTTGTCCTAGCAAGAGGAGTGGACATGGGAGTTGGAACTCACACTTACTGAGTCTTTCAGGGTCTGGGCCCCTTGTCCATGGGGCTTTCATTTATCTCACCTGGGGCCTTGGAATGGCACTGTATCAAAGTCACTTCAGTGGTGTATGACACAAAAATCAAATAGATTTATGCTAATTTTAAAAAAGGAGTTATAGGTTGGAGACTCAGAAGTGGTTAGATCAGAGGCTGAAACTTTGTAACCATAATTTACTTTGTTTCTTGACTCTTTTATTTCCTTGTTGCTACTATGTGCCTTTGGGCATGCCCAAGGTCATTATTTTTCTGCTTAAATTCAATATAAAGAATTTATTTTCTCACAGTTAAAATAAATGCAGAAAAATTGAACATGATTGGAGCAGTAGGGTCATTTATCCATCTGTGAACCAATCAGGATAGGCAGGGACATTCCATTTCTGATTGGCCAGGGCTGAGGTCGCATCAGCCTGAGAGAGTGAATCCCACACCTGATGTGTGTACTTTCACCATTTTAAAGGAGTATGGGGTATTTGGTTAGTCGGGACATGGGAACAGGAAGCCCTAGCTGTTTTATAGGGAAGAGAAAGTTGATTTGGTTCTCTAGCTGAGAGAATAGTGGATTTATTTATCCAACAAATACCAGCTTGATACTTACTGTTCCAGACCTATTCTAGGTGTAGGGAATTCAGCAGTGAACAGAACAGACAGAAATCCCAACTCATTTGGAGCTGATGTTCTTGTGGGGTTTACAGGAAAATGGTCCTGGTGTTCTCCCATTTCAAGCCTGGGGTCATGATCAAGAGTTTTTGTGCCAAGAAATAGCTAAGCTTCTTCCATCCTGTAGAATACTCATACTAGGGTTATTAGTCAGAAAGGACTTCCTTCAGGAAAATTGATATGGCATTTCTAAGAGAGGAGGAAGGAAGGGAGGAACAAGAAAGGAAGGAATGAAAGAAGGATATGTTTTCTACTTCACAGAGGGAGAAAGGAGGCACAGAAAGGGCAGGGATTCTGCCCAACAGGAAAGCTCTGGCAGGCAGCCGTGGGGTCTCTTCTGGGGTTGGAATGGCGTCAGGAGCCTGTACTGAGGCTGCTGCTCAGAAAGGAAAGAGGTTGGGTGTGGATCGTCTGACTCGGGGTTCCTGAGCTCTTGGTCGGTGGATTGGAACATCTATGGGTCTTGTGGGCTGCTGAGGACCAGTTGTATTAACTTTTAATTACAATCATGCCTTGGTTTTTGACTGCTTTGAAACTGATCAAGTTTGGTGCTTGACACTTGTAATGTGAAGATTTTGTCCCAGTATCCATCACTTGTTTGGTACTTGACACGCAAGTTAGAACTTGCTGGTGTTGATTGCCTCATGATTGGCTGCCGTTTCCAGCCAAAGCAATTTGGTACTCTTCATTTTTGGTGCTCAGAGCCAATTAACCACAAGTGCTGAGTACTTCTGTATCTACATGTGAGAGCCCAGGAGAGACAATGTTGGGTGATTAAATGGGTGCATGATGCACAGTTCTAAATATTCTAGACAACATTTCTCTAATGGAGATGCTTAGGGCCCCCTGTGCCCATGTGTGGGGAGGCGCCTTCTGTGTGTCTTTTGTTCCAGCCTCCATATACCTGGAGTGAATCTCCACCATAGCAAAAGGGCCAGCCAACACCTAGGCTGATACACTCCTGATAAAAGCAAAAACTCATCATGGGACAGAAGAACTCTCGCCCATCTTCCTGGCCCCTTTCACTAATTAAGTTGTTATCTTCTCAGTTACTCTGTCCTCTCTCCATTCCTGACAGCTCCATGATTTGTTTCTGAGCTTCGATGACACCCCTCTGGGAGCAGCTTCCCTGGCCCAGGTCCACAAGGCGGTGCTGCGTGATGGGCGGACAGTGGCCGTGAAGGTCCAGCACCCAAAGGTGCAGGCACAGAGCTCGAAGGACATTCTCCTGATGGAGGTGGGCAACCCCCTTTTCTCTTTCCTTTGTCTGTGTTTCCTTGGGATCCAGGTGACCTCAATGATACTGGCTGAGGCTGGTGGGTGGAGGGTGACCCTTTAATAGGCAGAGTTGGGAGAGGAGAACAGAGACCACAGCTAAGCAGTGTCATGACAACTTACGACCACGGCCCATGGCAGGGCTGGTCAGCTCTTTTAAAATTTTTTTTTATTTTAATGTAATACATGTGGGTATTAATAAAGAAAATATAAAAATATTCTTCTATAAAAAACAAAATCTTAAAAGAAACTCCAAAATATTACTCAGAGTACAAGTCATAGACAAGGCCTGGATTTAACTCAGTGGCATAAGGGCCTGCCTGGTAAGTACAAGGTTGTGCGTTTGATCCCCGGCACAAAATAAAACACCCCAGAAAACCAAACTAACAAGAACATAAAAATCATAGGCAAAAAAGACTCTTTTACAAAAAAGAAACAAATGGATAATAGTACAAAACTTTCTTTTTAATGAATGAAGAGAAACCAATAGTATAAATAAAACTAATTAGTATCTACAGTATATTGAAATATTTTTGAAGTAATGGAATAGAGAATTTGGGGAATTATTTAAACTTTTCTCTATTTCCTATTTACTATTTTGCTCTTTATGTATGTATGTATTTTATTACATATATAACTGTACACATATTAAAATATATATGTATTTTGTTAAGCTCGAAGTTTCTCATATAAGAGAAACTATGTAATAGGCAAACGTGTGTGTCTCACTTATTTCATTTAATACTATGTTCTGCAGTTAAATCCTCTTGCCTACGAATGCCTCAAGTTTATCTTACTTTATAGCAGGATAGTGGATTATTGTGTATAAATACTACATTTTCTTTATCTATTTATCTGTTGATGGACATATAGACTGTTTCTAAGATCAGCTATTACAAATTGTGTGCTATGGACAGAGGTATGCATGCATCCCTATAGTATGATATCTTTGATTCTTTTGGGAAGATACCTAGAAGGCAGATAGCTGGTCAAATGGTATTTTTATTTTTTAGTTTTTTGGGAACTGTTCACACTGAGTTCCATAGTGGTTGTGCCAGTTTACATTCCTAAAAACAATATAGAAGAGTTTCTTTTTCTCGTATCCTTACCAGCATTTGTTATTGTTAGATTTTTTGATTATAGCCATTCTTTCTGGGATAAGATGCTGTCTCCCATAGTTTTTTAATTTGTGTTTCTCTTATGGCCAGTGATGTTGAATATCTTTTTTTCCATTTGTTTATTTGCCATCTGTACTTCTGAGAAGATTTCTTCATTTGTATTCATTTCATCTGCCCATTTTTGATTGAGTCTTTCATCTTTTGTGGGGGTGGGTCTAATATTTTTATGTTCTAGATGTCAGGGTTGGTCAGTTCTTAATTCATCCCTGGGAACCTTCTTGGATAGCCTCAGAACATGCTAAGCAGCTGCTGGGGCAAGGGGGACCTTAGTAGGAGGTATTATAGAAATGAGAGGAACCAAAGGGTTCCTTTTTTGGGGGCTTAGGAAAAGTTGCATGATAATTTGTTAGGTACTAAAAGAGAGCATATGGCTGCACGGGATGTATAAATGACATGCAGATCATACAGAAATATTGTGCAAGTTGTGTTTGCTTATCTGACATTTGTTTTGAATGAACAAATTTACCTGCCAGAAAATGGCCCTGGGCAAAGCCTTGGAGGCTATAGTTTGCCTCCAGGGTTTTCTAGCTCCATGCCTAGGCCAAAGGAGAGAGAGGCTGAGCCTTCACTGTTGGGCAGGAAGCTAGGCAACCTGTTTAACATACTGGTGTTTCCTTATCCTTCCTCTATTCCTTCCCCTGCTCTTAATTTATCCTTTCACCTCACTTTGAACCAAACACGTACCTGTAGGTCTTTTCTGCACTTTATACTGGTGGGGTGCTGGAGACAAGAGAAGGAGAGTGCGCTCCCTCCTTATTCTGGGAGCCCTATCTTTGGTGGAGGAGACAGTGTGTAAACAAACAACCATGAGCTCAGTGCTGGTGAAGGGCGTATAACACTGTGCCTGAATGGGTGGGGGCATCAGAGGGACTTCACCGAGGAGGTGATATTTGAGTGGTCTCCTAAGGACCCCATGAGACAGATGGGCAGAGGAAGGGCAGCCCAGGATACGTGAAGACCCAGGTCTTAGAGGAGCAGGGTAAATGTGGAGGACTTCAGGTAGTTCTGATGGCTGGGAGTAGGTGGAGGCTAAACAGGTAAGCAGGATGCACAGAGGGCTCAGGTACCAGGCTGTGGAATAGAATGAGAAACATAGGCAACTCTCAGCACATGCTTGTGGGACTGAGCTGTCTGATTTTTTCTTGTAGTCAGTGGGGAACCATGTAAGAACTTTAATCTGGGCACTATCACAATCAGATGTGCATAAGAAATAAAAATCTGTTGGTGGTCTGAAGGACATATCAGAAGGCAGAAAGACAGTAGCCAGAAAGACAGTAACCAGTGAGGATGTGAAGCAAGGCATTGTTATGTAGTGGAGGAGAGGGATGAGCTCAAGCCGTGGGATCATGTGGATTTTGTGACCAGCTTTACATGAGAGGGGTAAAGACTGGTATGGATGAGAAGGAAGAGACTGAGTCTTTTTTACATTTCTGACTTGAGTGATTACATTTGGGTGACTTTAACTGTTTGTATGAGCCAGGTCCTATTGAGAAGAAATTGCCCTAGATATTTTAAACAGGGAATTTAAAACAGAAAACAGCGTTTACAAGGGATAGGATTGCTGAGACCCTAAATAGAGTGGTAAGGTAATTACCAACAGCAGGAAGCCACTGCCACCTTTGTGGAGGAAGGACAAAGAGGAGAGGTGGTTTTCCAGAGCTCAGGAGCTGAGAGCAACTGGTGAATGCTGGGACCAAGGAGAGTCTGCCAAGTGGAGCTGGATCACAGATGTAGGGGCTGGTAGCTGGAGCCACAGGTATGGATTGAGGCAGAGTTTTCCACTCTTTGGGTCCCCCCACTATCCTTGCCCGTTTGCTAAACCCACCTGGAAGCAAGTTGGCAGGGGAGCCTGGGAAATGTTTCTTACAAGAGTCAGAGCACTGGGGAGGATGTGATACAAAGTGAAATGGATCATGGAGCAGCTATGTGGGGTAAGATAATGCTTTTGGTAGTTTTGAGTAGGGATATCTCTGCTATGGAGGATTAACTAAGTGGGCAACTTGTAACACCCAGCTGAACTGACTCAGCATGATTCTGGGCGTGGGAGGCCCACCTGAGGACTGTTGCCAAAGCATAAAAGGAGAACTATAGGGGAAGATGGTGTGCTGTTGATTCTCCTGGAGAAGCGTGTCACGCTGATATGAACTTGGCTGTTCTCATTATTGGAGGAGCTCAGGTCCTTGCTGTCGCTGAGGATGGCTGCATTCCTTGTTGGGGGGAATCTCGAGTCCTTACCTTGAGCACTGCTTCCTGCTCTAGTGCAGATCCCTCAGCCTGCTGGCATAGATCTTTCACTCCATTGGTGTAGACTTTCTAGCTTCCACCGCTGACCTTTGGGCCTTCCCAGTGAAGATCCTTGATACAGACTTGCGTGAGACATTATCAAGGGCTTTAGGCCTCCAGTTGGATTTGTGGAGGATATTGCCATGGGCTGAAAGTCCTCAGCTGGCCTCTCAAAGGACAGTGCTGTGGGATCCAGACCTCAACTGAATTCTTTGGGTCTCTAGCTTGTGGACAGATCTGTTGCACTCTTTTACATTTAATTTTGGGGTGACTACTATAAAATAATCGTATGAATTGTGTGTTCTGTATTAAATCTATTCCTTTGTAAACTCTGACTATAACACCTGTCATTCTGGAGTTCAGGTTGGGATACAGATTCAGGATTTATGATCAAGGATACTCACAGTTGCTGAATCTGGGGGAATGGTTGAGTTCACTTAGAGGAAGTGTTTATAGTAAAGAGGGATGGAGGCAGGACAAGTGTAGGGGGCATCATCATTTGGGGAGTATGCCCAAGATGGTAAGTTACTAAAAGGGCTAAAGGATTAAAAAATACCTCTATGATGATGAAAAAAACTAATAATAACAGGATATGTATCAGTTATCTAATGCTGTATGATGAACTGGTCTCAAAATTTACTGGCTTGAAACAAATAGCTGTGAGTTTTGCTGATGAATTTGGACCTTGACCAGGGATTCAGAAAGTTGTGTTTTATTTAGCCCCAGGCTGCATAAAGGGTAGCTTTACTGGGGCTGGGGGGACCTATTTCCAATGTGGCTCACACACATGGCTGACAAGTTGGGCCTGGCAGTAGTCTGGGAGCTCAGTTAGGCCTGAGAGCTAAGCCTTGCTTCCTCTCCGTATGGGCTTCCACGTGACTGTTTGGGCTTCCCCACAGCATGGCTCCTGGGTTCTAAGAGCAAGTATCCTCTTAGAGTAAGGTTGGAAATACGTTACAGTTTTATGACCTAGCCTTAGAAATCACAGAATTAATTTTTTCTTACTCTGTTGGGTGAAGCAGCCACAAATGCCCTTTTTGCTTAGGGGTTCAAAAAATAGATTCTCCCTCTTAATAAGGCAGTGGCAGGGTTCTGGAAACATATTAACATGAGAGTGTTTTTGCAGCCATTTTGGAAAATAAAATAGTCCAGAATTGTTCAACACTGGAGTGGGTATTCTGGGTTGGCAATTTAAGAAGAAGAGGAATTGCAGGGGCATGAGTTGGGTGAAAGAGAACCAAGACCAAGGAAGTATAGACACTGAATGTGGATACTTTTGTCCAGTGTTTAGCCATGGAAAATAAACCATGGAAAGCTTGGAAGCATTAGAGAAGAGTATAGACCTAAGTGTTGGGAAGATCTGAGCAGGATTGCTGCTGATGGGGAGGGGAAGGTTGAAGGCTCAGCAGAAAAGTAACTGCTAGTTCTAGTCTGAGAGGAGATTGAAGAGATTGGGCACCAAGAACACAGTGGAGACGTTAGCCTTTGATGAACCTTTGCT